TGGTCGACTCTGGGCCACCGGCGGCGTCAAACTTGGAACGCCCGCGCTGGTACACACTCTTGCTGTACCAGTGAATCTTGGAGCGCGCTCGTCGTCGATCCTCCAAGGGTTCCTGCGGTGCCCCACCTCTTCTGTGGGTCCCCCGAGGCCGTCGTTGGTGAGCGCTTTTATTCGGCGTTTCGGCATTGGGCGGAGAGGGGGAGGGAGGGGGGGGGTCTGGCTCTGGATCTCTGCTTAGTGCGAGTGTTTGGAACCGTGCGTCCCCCGGGGGAGACTCCACCTGCTTGACACAGGCGCCGAAACCAGCCAAGATCTACTCCATGGGTTGGGGAGGGGGGGGGTACGAGGGCCCGCACCGATCGTCAAAACAACGAATCAAAAAACGACCACTTGTTGGATCGGCATGTTCCGATGGGCACCTGCTGGTAGGCCGATGCCTAATGTGATGCGCCCGCCGTGCCTCGCTTGCTCCGCCTTCTCTGCGTGCCTGCTCTCGCTGCTTGCCCCCCTTTTGAGCAGGGACCGACCGTCCCGGCATTCCTATAGTCCTACCACGAAATGTTCTTAGAACCCAAAATGTTCCAAGAACAAAAGCAATGATCTTATAACATAACCCGATGTGTTAAAAAAGACAGCCCCAGCCAGAAATGTTCTAAGAACATTTCGTGGAAACCACAAGAGGTTCTTAGAACATTCCTTGGCGGGGCTGTAGGGGAGCCAGGACGCTTCGCCACTGCTTGACCCTTGGGTTGGGCCCCCGGGGATTGGAGTATAGGGAGCGCGCGAAGACCGGCGCCGCCTTCCCAGCGGAGCGCCTTCTCTGCTCTTCACCTTTTCTCCTGTCAACAACGCCTCGTCGTCGTACCACACGGTGTGTGGGCAGGGCTGAGTGGAGCTTCGCACCACAGCGTGTGCACGGACGGATGGTGATCGGTTCTCAGCAACGCGTTCTGGGGGGGCGCTGTCTTTGCTCTTCATGTTCTCTCCTGTCCACAACGCCTCGTCGTCGTCGTCGTCGTCGTCGTCGTCGTCGTCGTGGAACACGGTGTGTTAGCAGGGCTGCCTGGAGCTTTGCACCACAACGTGTTCACGGACGGATGGTGATCGGTTCGCAGGATCGCATTCTTAAAAGCCTCCTGGATGATGTCGGTTACTTGGGGTCGGAGGATCGCGCCGCATCGCCGACGCATCGGCGATGCATCTTCGATGCATCGGCGATGCAACGGCGATGCAACCGCGATGCATCGGCGACGTCGACGTGAAGCAAGTCGGGCTCCGCATCGAGCCGCATCGCCGATGCGTCGGCGACGCGGCGCGATCCTCCGACCCCATCTGCTCCGAGCCCACCTGAGAAGCCTAGAAGACCAAGAGGCGCCACCCGGCCCTACCCCCCCACTGGTCCTAGCTCCAGCCCCCCTCGTCGTCGTCCCCCAGGTCCTGGCACTGGACCCCACCGCCCACCCTGCTTTTCGCCCTAGCCCCTCTCGCCCCGCCAGCTGTGGCCCTGGCCCCAGCCCCCCTCGCGCCGGAGCCTTTCTTTTCGTTCGTCGTCGTCCCCCTGGCCACGAGGCGGCCACGGGCGGAATCTGGGCGCACGTCCGGGAGTTTCCGGTCGGCCAGTGCATTTCGGTCGGCCAGTGCTGCCGAGAGTTCTGCGTGCAGGCCCCTGGCCCCTGCCCTTCGCTCCCTCCGGTGCCGCGTTGCCCCCCACTCCCCGCCCAGCTCGCTCCGCGCGGCCAGAGAGTCCTGGCCACGGGCCCGGACGTCCTCTGCTGTGACAGGCACGGCGAGGGGGCCATGCGCCACGGGCGGGCTCTGGGCGCACGTCCGGGAGCGCCGTGGCCGCGCGCGGGGCGGCCACGGCGCGGGCCGCAGGCACCCGGCGAAGGCCGGGCAGCGCCGGCCAGCGCACGCACGGGGCGTGGGCGAGGCGAGGCGCCGTTCGCCGTCGCCCCCTGGCCACGAGGCGGCCACGGTCGGGCTCTGGGCGCACGTCCGGGAGCGCACGGAGGAGGAGGAGGAGGAGGAGGAGGAGGAGGAGGAGGAGGAGCAGGAGGAGGCGGGCGCACGTCCGGGAGCGCACGGGCCGCGCGCGTGGCGGCCACGGCGCGGCCGCGGGCACCCGGCGAAGGCCCGGCAGCGCCGGCCAGCGCACGCACGGGGCGTGGGCGAGGCGAGGCGCCGTTCGTCGTCGCCCCCCTGGCCACGAGGCGGCCACGGGCGGCCTCTGGGCGCACGTCCGTGGCATTGACACTCTAACAATCCCAGCATTGAACTAGAGATGTGCTGCACACGTGTGAAACATGTTTTGGGCATGTGTTTTACATATCCAAAAACAGATTTGAAAAATCTTTTGGGCATCCCAGCATTGAATTAAAGATGTGCTGAACAAGTGTGAAACATGCTTTGGGCATGTGTTTTAGCTATCCCAAAACAGATTTGAAGCATCTTTTCGGCATCTGGAAAGTCTTTGGCAGCATGCTGCCTCTCCGTTCATCGACTTCCACAGACTTGGAGTGGAAGAGAGATTCCCTGGCGAACGCCCTCTTGGGGGAACACTTGCGCTGGGGGGCGGCGCGTTGGAACCATCGTGGCCTCGCATGCAGCATCCTCACGCCTGTACCGCGCGAGGCCGCACCTCGGAGGTTGGGGGAGTGCGAGCGAGTGGGCCCCAACCCAGGAGGTCCAGTCGGTGGACAACATATCGCAAGTTGTCTGAGCATCATGATAAGCAGCGTGCCAACTAGGACCAGAATCCATAGATCTCTGAAGACCCCCCCATCCCCACATTTCAATGCTGACTTGCGTTATTTTGTCCACCCGGACTCGGGGTGCTCGCTTGGCGCCAACATTGAGGTGTGGGGGGCGGGGATTGTTCGTCGAGGTGGCGCCGCAATGTAAGTGCAGCCGCGCGCGTTCAGGAGCAACTTGCAAAATTTCGTCGTCCCACCGTCGGTTTCGGTTTCGGCTCGTGTCGTGGGATGCGGAGCTGCGCAGGGGCGATGATGTGTCGGCCACGGCCAAGGCCGGGGCCAACTCTGGCACAAACATCCTCGGGTGTCTCGCCGTGGTGGTCCCGTGGTTGCCCTGTGGGTTGCCCCGTGGGCTGCCCCGTGGGTTGTCCCGCGGATTGCCCTGCGGTCGCCCCGTGGGTTATCCCGCTGTTGTCTTGTGGGTTGCCGCATGGTTGTTCTGTGGGTTGCCCAGCGGACTGTCCAGGAAGTCGGAGTCCAAATCCAAATGCAGACGATCTGCACATCGAGATGCAGCCCGAAAAGCAAATCGGAGTGCACATCCATCGAACTGCACACCAAAATGCAAATCTAAATGCACAGCAGCATCGATATCCACCTGTAGTCGAGCTGCACATCGAAATGCAAGTGGAACAGTAAACCTAATTACAAATCAACATACATGCCAGGCTTCAACTCCAATTGTAATTCGAAATGAACCTAACACTCATACGCGAATAACATCGACGTACCAATAGAAACGCACATCTGATGGTCATGGGAATGGTTCTCAAATGTCACATCGGACTGCACATCAAAATGCAAATCAACATCGAAACTACATGCACGTACGCTTGCAATCGAACTGCGTATCGAACTACACATCGACATTCACGTCAAAAAGCACATCGGCATGCATATCGACGTTCATATCCAATTCCAGACCGAAGTGCACATCGAAACGCAAATCCAACCACAGATTACAGTTGAATCGAAATCAACACTTGAATGATTATCGAAATGCGCATCGAAATGCGCATCGGCATTCATCTTGACACGCACACCGAAATGCACAACGACATGAACACACATCGGCATACCCATCGAAATGAACATCCGCATGTCAATCGAATTGCGATCGACATGCAAATGAGCTTCCAATTCCAATCGGACTGCACATAGACTTGAACATCAATCTGTACATCAACCTCATTATCGGCATGCATCCGACATTCACATCTACATGGACATCGCCATTCACAACGCCGTGCAAACCGCAATGCACATCAACGTACACATCGACATGCACATGCGATTGAGCATCCTCTACCGCCTTGTCCCCCGAAGTGTGGTCTATGATGTATTTCTGCTGATGGAGGGCGGCGGACCGGGACTCCATTACAACTCAGACTGGAGAGCTCTTGGGTTTCAAAACTGCACAGATACATGGCGGCACGTTTGACAGCTTCGTACGACGGTCGGCAATCCTTTGAGTATGGAGATGGCCAGGAGAGGAGTGGGCAAGAGGAGGACTCTTGTGCGATTGCGTGCGTTGGAACCTTTGCTTGCACAAATCGCCGTTCACTCGACTTGCTCGCCCTCTTCTCCATTCTCCACGTTTTCGGTATTATGGTGGCAAAATGCTCACATGTATATGTTTTCTGGGAGTCCCACCTGGCGCCCGAGATTTTTGTTAGCAGGCGGAGGGGCCACAAATCTGATGATGTCCGCAAAGGTTGGTCGTGATGCCAAGCGCTCAGGCGTCTGGGAACATGAACACTGCCTCCTTGTTGGTGAGCTTCTTGTAGACAGCCGCGAATGTCGCCAGCTTCTCCTCGACTTCGCCCTTGTCCTTGTCCTTCGGATCCAGGAAAACCTTCATCAACTTGGTGCCATCCAAGCTGATACGCGTGCGCCTGCCCACGATCTCAGTCGGCCCGACGATGTCCTCCAAGATGGCGTCGTGCACGGCCGTCAACGTCCGACTGCGGGGACGCACTTTGAGCCCCCGGCGCCGGAAATTCTTGTCCAGGATGGTGCGCTGGGCCACGAACACGACGTGCTTCTTCTGGAACTTCTTCTCCAACTCTCGGATCAAACGGCCCTGGATCTTCTTTACTGCGCCCCACACCCGGAAAGGGAAGTGCACGACGACGGCCTTGCGCGTCTTCGCCTCCACCTCTTTCGCCGCGGAGATGCAGATGTCGCGCAAGTCCGCCTTGATATCGCTGGACGGGGACACTTCGATGTCGAGGAGGGCCTTCGCCACCTCCTCTTCGAGCTCTGTAGGGGCTGCGCCCTTGTCCTTGACGATCTTCTTCCTTGCGTTGATCATGATGCCTAGGCCGGTACCCCCTTCTGGTGGCACTGCCCTCCGTGCTTCCAAGCTCTAGCTTCGGCCAAGACGGCTGCGGAGGAGGAGAAGGTGATGAGGGGAAGTACCTAGGAGGAGGAGGAGGAGGAGGAGGAGGAGGAGGAAGAGGAGAAGGACGAGGTGGGGTAGAAGGATGGTGATGATAGGGCAGATGAAGAGCAGATCCCCTGCCCATAGAGGGGGGGGGACGGGGACGGTCAGGAATGAAGAAGGGGCGAGAGAGAAGAAGGAGAAGAGCGGGGAAGGGGAAGGGGCAATCTAAGGAGAAGCGGAGGTACTCTTCTTCCAGCGAAGTCCCCCCACCTCCCAGCTGCTGAAGCACGTCCTGGGGCCAGGGGAACACTACTAGAACCATCGCGCGCGCTCAAATTTTAGCTAGCCTGGGCGTCATGGCGTGGCACGGGCGAGACACCGCGCCATGATGATTCAGAACCACGTGGTGCCGACGGCGTCCTTTGAGATATCAGTGCCTCTGTGCACGCTATATGGTGTGCACCAAGGACGCCGTGGCGATGCCTCATCTGACAAGTTGGAGATCCCAGGACTTGACAACCAACTCATGAATGCCTCGGGTCGTGGACTGCATGCCACAGGATGAGGAACCCCCGTGGCGCACCCTTGTGATCTCTGGAGAGCAGGCGATGAGAAGTACGGGGGAGTAAGTGCAAGTCGAAGGAGGATGTGCACACGCATCGGCCTGCAATAGGTGGCGCCCTGCAACAGGAGGCAGGAGGAGGGAGGAGGCGGGACCCGAGGGGGGACCAGCAGCGCTCTGCTCAAAACGGGGATCCGACACAGGAAGAAACAGATCCCATGTGCGGGGCCCAGACAAAGTCTGGCCAAACCGAACTGACCACTGACCACTGCCGACTGACGCCTTTGGTCGAACGTGCCATGAGAAACGGTCTAAATGTTCACGTCTTCTCTGATGCACCGATGCGGGATCACGGACATCGGCGAATTTCCGAACTTGGCGATCGGCAGGGCACCGGCACGACGAAGACATCCAGATTCGGATCGCTGGATTGTGAGCACAGGAAGGGGGGGGGGGGCAAGGAAACAGAGGAAGGAGACCTTCCCTGCCGTCCCCGCCCGAGGGCTTGCCCGCCCCACTGCTCCATGAGCGACGATCGGGGAGTCGTGAGACTCGGGTACGGGGGACTCGGGTTGGCCTGACGGTGCCATCATGAAAAACGACGAGACCCAGCCTGAACTCTGACGCGAGCTCCCGCTGCAGAAGTCCCACGAAAACTGGACCGTCAGAATCCAGGACGCGCTCGTCAAAAAAACATCGGCAAACCCGAGTTCCGGCTTACTCGAGTCTTACTCGGGGGCAGCCAGGAGGGGGGCGTCCAAGAGGGGGGGGGGGCGCAAATCATGGCTGGCGGCATGTGCGCGGCCCAGGGGGGGGGGGCCAGGGACGCAATGAAATAAGAAGAGGCGCCATGAAATCAGGGGAAATATCATGGCCCACGCCATGATATCCAATCACCCCTGGTCATCACCCCCCTTTTGGCCGCCCCTGACTTACGTTTCCCTGCGACGAGCGATGTTCTCGCGGCACAGGGGCGCGGCGCGATCGCGGGATGCGCGATCCCACACACGCCCTCCGCGCGAGAGGCGGCGTGCGCCAGGGCAGCGACGGAACGTGCCCGCATCCACGGGGGCGCGGTCGAGGGATTCTGACCACGAGGAGCTGTGGACAACATCAGGAAACAAAAACGCCAGAAACACAAACGTTTGGCACTCTGCGCGGACTTCTTGGACCTGCGCTAGAAAACCCCTTGCCTGGCGCGCGGGGCGCGCCAGGGGGCTGCCCCAGGGGCCCAGCGCGGAGCCAAGGAGTCCGCGCGGAGCGCCAAAAGTTTATGTTCATGTTATGTTGCTCCCATCGTACTTAAGTCGGCTATACGCAAAAGTGACCTGGGTAAGAGTGACCTTTGGTGCGCGACTTTTTTGGGGGCCGCGGGAGGACCAAACCTGGGCGCGCAAGCAGCTGCTACTGCTTCGTTTTCAGCCATCTGGGGACCCATCGGTGCCCGCACTCAAGGTCACTCCGGCGCAAGGTCACTCTTACGTCTAGTCGATTCAGGGCCACATCCCAGAAACCATTTCGAGCACCCGGAAAAGTGTTGGAAGAGTGCCGAAACAGCGTCGAAGCAGTGTCTCCCAGGGCCCGACGCGTGACAGCCCCCGAGTTTTTGGGTCCCTGTCTGGTGCTCGAAGCTCTCCCCGGTGACCACGGCGAAAGCAGGTTAGAGCATCATCATGTTCGTGGCGTTGTTTGCCTTCCTTGAAACCTGCTCGCGGGGCGGAAGGCTCGGTGCAGGCCCCCCGTCTGGAGGAGAGGCCGCCGAGGACCGCAGGAGTGCCTGGCCCCTCCAGGGGGCTCGCGGTGCCGCGCCCGGGCCGGCACGCCCTCTCCCGAGGCGCCGACCGCAGCATGCCCGACATGGCGGAGGCCGGAAGCCTCTGCCGGGGCTCCCAACTTCGCGCTCTCGCGCTCTCGCGCTCCGCGAGAGCGCGAGAGCGCGAAGAGCTCCGCGCTCTCGCGCCGCCCCCCCGCAGGGAGAAAAAGGAGGACGAGGGGGAGGGGGCGAGGGAGCGAGGGCCGCGAAGCGCGAATGACCTCGCGCCCTGGTGGGAGCCCCTGCTCTGGAGGTCTCCGCAGTTCCCATACAAGACGAGCAGACACCAACCGCAGTGTGGCAGGCGTGCCGAGCAAGAAGCTGTCCTGGCTGCATGCGGCCCACTGTGGCTTCTCACCCCCCCGATGGCTCTGGGGATCAACAGGGGCCTTGCGACATCCCAGGATGTTCAAACATCGACGGCAAGTGCGCTCTAGATGTCTGATTACACATTGTTTTGTCAACGACCCCCGCTTGCTCGGGGTGAAAAGGTGTGCGTGTGTGTGTGTGTGTGTGTGTGTGTGCGTGCGTGCGTGCGTGCGTGCGTGCGTGCGTGCGTGCGTGCGTGTGTGTGTTGTGTGTGGGTGTAAGTGAGTGTGTGTGTGTGTATGTGCGGGTGTGTAAGTGTGTGTGTGTGTGTAAGTGTGTGTGTGTGAGGTCATGCGTCTTTGAGAGAGTTGTTTGGCTGTCGCCCTCCTCCTGGTCCCCCCTCCCCCCAGGATGCACCATTTCGTTTGAGAAATGGGGGAGTGGGGAGGTGTCAACGAGCTCATCAAGGCACTTCCCACCCCAATTGTTAAGAGAGCCCAAGATTGTCCAATATGCCCTCCAATAAATCACAACATAACCGCACATGGGCTCCACCAAGCCTCAAAGAAGCCCCACGACCGCCACAAGCCGGCTCCAATTCACAAAGTAGCCTCCAGAGGCCAACATCCTGCAATAACTTACACATTGCCCAATGTGTTGTTTGCATCGCCGCTGTCTAGCTTCCGATGGCATTCTGAGAGCGCAAAATAAGCCCAATATCGCCTACAGTAAGAGAGCCAGAGGAGCCAACCAAGGCTCCAAAAAGGCGCCACAAAGGTCGCAGAGGCTGCGAAGAGCTCCCCGAGAAAGTCCCAGCATGCCCAAGAGACAATGCTTCAGGATCCGACGGTCGGGGAGCTGACTGCAGCATTCCTCTTTTCGATCGATGCCCTCCAAGAAGGCCCCCAACGCATCCGAAATCGCCTCCCAGAGAGTCCAATAATACTTCCAGGAAGCCTGGAAGAGGCACCCGGGTTGACAATCTTACTACGGGCTCCGTGGCCGACTCCAGCGCCTGCTCAGGGTGTTGCTTCCTCCTCCTGGGAGTCGGCGGATTGGCGGGAGCGTGCCGACGTTTCCACAAGAATGCGCACGTTCGTCGCTCTCACGGGCTGCCCCTGCCCTCGCGCGCCTTTTTGGCGGCGGCCCCGCCGCTGCCCCCCGCCGCCTCGCCAGCCGCGGCAGCCACCGCCTCTGCCGGGGGGGTGGGAGGGGCCTGCCCACTCCAAGGAGGGGGGCCCAAACGTCTGGCGGGTCGAGACAATCGAGGCAGCAAGGCTTTCCCACATTCTGGGCCCCTGGAAGCCAGCTTCGGGCCTAAGGGCTGTCCCAAAAAACTACCCAGGACGAAAACCAGGCCCTGGGAAACCATGTCTCGAAATGTCACACTGTCAAGCAGCACAGAACAACAGTGGCCATTGGTTGCACCGTAGGTTCGGGCAGCGCGAGCAACCAAATCGTAGATTTCCGCAGAGGGTAAGCCAGAGGTTGCGGCAGACACTCCGTGGGTCACCAAATCGTCCACTACCCCGCTAGGTGTGCCGTACATTACGCCACACACCCCGCGGTCAACCAGCTTGCGCTGGACACCTCACAGGCAACTGACTTGTCTGTTGCGTTCGTGGGCGTGCCATAGGCTGCGCAATCGGTTGTGCCATTGGTTGCGGCAAACACCCACCAACACCGTCCGTTCCCTCAGAGGGCGTGCCATAATTTACGCCATGACAATCAAAGCATCTGTTGCCTCGGTGGGTGTGCCACTGTTTATGCCGGACACCCCGCGGGCCACCAAACTGTTCGTCAGTGGCTGTGCCATGGTCTGCGCCACAGGCCGCGCCAGACGCTCCGCGGGCCACCACATCGTCGAGTGCCTCGTGCGGTGTGCCTCCTGGCGCCACCACGTTCGCTGCTCAGCAGGGGAATCGAGCCGCCAGATGCATGGGGAGGCATGCCGTCATCATCGTGCTGCGGGGTGCGGGCGCACGGACTGCACGTGCACGCTGCTGCTCTCGCTGCCGGCGCTTGGCCGAGGCGAACGAGACTGGTGCCGATGACCTTCCGGACGGCCTGCTGGATCCCCATTGAGGGTGAGGAGGGTGGAGGGGCAGGGGGGATGACCTCCCCGGCTGTATTGCGGACGCGCTAAATCTGATCCAGGCTGGAACATGGCTGTGCAGCCAGCGGCTGGTGAGGCAAACAAGTGACCTGGGGAGACCAATCGCGCTCCCTCCGCGCGTCACAGAAGGGTTGAACACAGCGACAGCTAATCAGATATGGGAAGCTACCCTAGGAAGCCTGGATCAGCGTACCGCCGAAGCCTTCAGCAGCTGCTCATCCAACCTTGCGCGTGCAGCCTCGTGCTCCCGCAGAGCGCTCAGAATCTTGGGCCACCCCCCTTGAAGATGCAGAAGAAAGGGGGCAACACGACGATCTAATGTGTAAACCGTGCAGCCGCATTTCCTTATGCTACCGAAGTTACATGTGCGCGTGGCCGAGAGAAAGAGAGAAGAGATAGAGAGAGAGAGAGAGAGACGGCACGCGAATGGCTCCAATGATCGCGAGAAGCGGTATCCGCCACCGTGCCTGCGGCACGTTGAGGCGTGGAAGAATGCCAAGGGCTGCCTGGCAGGGTTTCTGTGTAGTCTTCTAAGGGCCCCCCTTCTCCGCGGGACGCACCCGGCCACCTGCACCACCCCTACTCCCGGGGGGTCGCTAGGTTGTCATGGCGCCTCCCCGGGGCTGGCTCTCCAAAGCTTCCATGATGGCCCAGGACGCCCCCAATACGGCCCAAGAGGGCCCCGAGTCGCCGAACGATCGCTCGAAGACACCCAAGATGGCCTCAAGATGGCCCATGAGGCCTTCAGGACGCCCCAAGAGGCCTCCAAGATGCATCCCAAGAGGACCCCAAGAGGCAAACATGATTGATTGTCCTTGGGCTTCTGAAGGATATTGGCGTTCTCGCCTTTTCGGCTTTCCGACGCTCCAAGACCGCCCAAGAGGCCCCCCAAACCATCCCAAAACGGCCCAAGAGGCCTCCAAGTGGGCCCCAAGACGGCCTAAGAGCGCCCAAAGACGGCCCATGAGGCGCCCAAGCCCCAACAGGGCCCAAGAGAGGTAGCACGAACCGAGAATCCGAGCCTTCCACCTCAAGAGGCCCCCAGGAGGTTCCAAGAGGCGCCCAAGAGGCCCCAGGAGGCGCCCAAGAGGCACCCGGAGGCCCCCAGAAGGCCCCCGAGACGCCCAAAAGAGGCCCCAAGACGCCTCAAAACTCGAGAGGCCTCTCATGAGATTCCAGCGAACATCCACTAGGCTTCATACCCCAAACTCAGGCACGGTGGCGGGACTTGCCGTAAGCAACTGGATATGGTATACAGACAATAGGGAAGCGCAACCAACACAACAGCGCATCATTTTCCGCAGGACGCAAGGCACATCAATCTCCACCTTGCCATCACGCGCGCGAGCGCTGGTTCGGCTTTTCAGGACTGCTTTAGCCTGCAATGGACAGCGTAGATGTCTGCAATCATCATGTCGACCTTGGCCTCCCAACTCTCCTGCCCTATCGATGTATTGTGGAAGTCGGCGAACTTTATCCTCCAGAGGGAGATGATCATGCACAGTTGTGTCATCGAATTGCGAATGGCCCTAATCTGCCATGTATGGAATGCAACTCCTACTTGTAAGTAAGACCTTCGTTGGCTAACTCTCTGTCCCTGAGAGTGCTGCGTCATCATGACATGTATTACGTGGGTCGGCGTGCACAGACATGACGTCCCGCCTCTTCGCCATGACGAGAATCACGCCACAACTGCTGTTGGTATTCTGATGTTATCTCCCACACCGGTGCTGCTCGTTTCCCTCTTCCGAAGAGGAGGCATTCCTCTGTCTCATGTTCTGCCTACAGTGGTCACCCCTCTCCCCTCCGTCCGCTCTCACATTCCCATCCACTTCTCCGTCTCATCCACACCGGCGAGGGCGACGCGGTTGCAACTATCGGAGGGTGGGCGATCCCCGATAATTCCGGCTAGGGTGGCCCCACCCACATTTGCCATTTCCCTCTCCCTCTCAAGAAACTCGCTCAACGTCGGATCTGACTCGTGTTAAGTCGGGCCTGTCCCCCTACAGGGGGATTTCCGACGAAAACTAAAAAATACCCCAAGAATAGTCAAACAATAATCCAAAAATAGTCTGGGGACTATTTTGGGGGTATTTTTCTGACCTTTTTGAGGTATGTTTGGGGTATTGTTTATTTGTCGTCGAAAATCCTTCTGTAGGGGGACACGCCCGACTTAAGACTCGTGGTGCTCTTACTACCAACACAACAGAACACAAATCAGGCCGTCAAGCGTGCTGCAAGTGCACCGGTGTGGCCACCTGCCCAAGGATGGCGACGCCCGAGACGGGAGCGCAAACTCCTCGAGCGCCCGCAGGGAGAAGGAGAAGCTCCTTTGTTGAACCACAGTCTCTAATTGAGTTATAAGCGAGATCTCCAAAACAATGTGCCGCAATATGAGTTTTACATTCTGGTCGACAAGGTTGTCACCTGGTGATCGAATGCAGGAGCGTTGCCTCCTGAAAGACACGTGATTTGCCCGGCAGTTGCTTGTCGAGATAGGCGCTCCTTTCGGCATGCTCGCCCGAACCCGCGTTCCTGCAGACAGGCACGAAGGGATGCAGCAGAAAGAGAGAGAGAGAGAGAGACAGAGAGAGAGAGAGAGAAACAAAAAAAAAAGGGATACAGAGAGAGAGAGAGAAAGAGAGAGAGAGACAGCAGACGGTTAGGACGATTGTCGGGTCGGGCGAAAAAGGGGGGATAGCATAGGGGGGGGTGAGAATCAGCTCACCTAGCCCGGCGCCGGGAGGCGCCCATGTCTCGAGGAATGGGCCCCTCGGTGGGGCCGGAACCAGCTGCAGCAGATTTGGACCCCCCCCCTTTCCCGATCCCCCCCTTTCGTCCGGCCCGAGATTGGGAACACGAGCGCCCTCCCTTTTGGCAAGCCCCTTCTAAGGGGGAGCGACAGCGGGGCACTGGCTCCGCGGGGGGAAGCATGGAGCCTGGATCGGCGGTACATCGCCCATCTAGGCTCAAGTCGGGCGTGTCCCCCTACAGGGGGAATCAAACACTCCAAACATGCTCCGAAATGGCCAACAAATGCTCAAAAAATAGTCCCCAGACTATTCTTTGACTATTTCTGAATATTCCCCCCCTGTGGAGGGAC